TTAGTCCACGACAAGCACTGCTTTATCTGCGCTTAACGAATACATAAAGATGTTTAACTGAATTAAAGGAGATTATTGTGAGAATATAGCCACCACGAGGACTTAAGCTAATTCATTTGCATTTAGCATTTCTTCTTTCATATCATGTGTTACTCTCTTTCAATGTTTTTCAATTGTTATTGTCGCTTATGTTTGATGCGGCATCTTTGTACGTTTAATAAACCGCTATTCCTTCATTGTATGAGTGAGTGTAAATGCATGCATGCATAATAAATGATTTTGTACATCAACATACATTTCTTTTAGTAACACACAGCCACTTAAGCCAATTGTATAAAGTGATTATCATCTGCATGTATTCCGTATACACTGTACATGTGCACAATACGTGCATACGATTTTCATGTAAGCTTATGGTGCGCATAATAAACTCTTTCTATAAACAGTTTCTTTCTCGGTTATCACTCTGCATCAACATAAAGTACATAAAGAAGGATTTATATGAATGGATACATTAAACACAACAACAATGTTCTTAATATAAGCACACACATATAGTGTATCATGGCTACATAACCATGTATAAGCAAATTAAACTCAAGGGAAAAGTAAACTGTAAATGGTAATGACTTAGAATGGTATCAGTGACTGTTTGCATAAAATTGTCGCCACTCAGACTTGAATAAATTACATTGCGACGAAACAGGGGGGGTTTCTATAACAGAATCAAAGAAACTATGTTAAATAAGAAAAGGAACAAATAATTCATTTTAGCCCTTCTAAGGCGAATCGGAAACACTGTCATCCATAATATTTATTAGATAAGCTTCAACCTTTTTATATAGTTTTCGAGAATAAACACCATATTCTCTACCGTTGTGTTCATTTGTCACTTGTGACAAGGGAAAACAACGCCTTGCCTGCCTTGTCATAGTTTATATGGCTTTGTATTGAAGATGGTCTTCTTGAACAATAGTTGCAATAACAATTTCGAGAGAGATATTTTTTTTTCCTTTTTTTTTTGTAAATCGACATACGAATCAAGAAAATTTACCAGGCAGCTTTTCTCTATTCCAACAGTTGGAAATTTCGAAAAAAAGAAAACAAATAGAAACAGTATAGTCGAGCAAGGACAAGCATTAAATATCCTTTAGCACTGCGCCTAATATAATTATTCAACTACAATACCTTACACTACTTGTGGTACAAGAGTATACTAACTTAGTGCGGTTGTATGGAACATTCAGAAGGACTTGGGATATCGATCAATTCAGAATAATTTTCTAAGTCGGCCCAAGGTTGTCTGTCCGTGTGTCCATCTTATATATTCTTTTGCTCAACCTGAAGTGAGATATTTTAATAATAAAAATATTGCACGTTGGCATGTTTTGATCCAAGGCCTCACGCTATTGAAAATCGTTCGGATCGGGCCATTTTTTTGATCACTTACGATGTTAGGTTTTAATTTGGAAAGTGTTGTAAGAGCAACTGTATTAAGCAAAGTGGAGTAGCGTACTTAACAGTGGGCACTCTTCCAACAGTGTGCTCTTTCTGATAGAATAGAATCGATTTTGTACTTTGTTTCCATGCACAGATTTATTTTTCGCGGGGTATGTGGGAGCGATTTCAAGAAATTGATGCGTGTGTTCGAAATTTGTCTCAGTTAGCATGCTGAAATACTACTGCTCGGCGCATTTGCATGCTTTTATCATACAATGACTCTCACAAAATAAGCTGCTACATGTGGAGTGGCCATAACAAACGTCCAGTCCAAGCCGTTTCCAATAGATATCGATCTATAGCCACGAAATTTTGGTGTCTCCTAAAAATAACTCAAAGCTCACGACCTATATGTTGAACATATTATTATTATTATTAATTTCGCCAGAGAAATAAATTCTAAGACTAAACTCTTAAAAGGACTAGCATCTAAGGCTATCGGCTTAAAAAACATAAAATTATGAGATGAACAAGCAGATTAGAATGGTTGAGAAAATGTATTAGAATTGGTTGGCATAACGAAAATTGGGTCTACCTTAAGTCCTTCTACATGTTTTACGCCGCATATGGTCATATACATAGATCAAGACTAAACAATGTATTCTTGAAAAGCCATAAATACATGAATTAGAAAAGAGGGGGGTGGGGTGGGTATATTTAGAACTGATCGTATTATTTGGTGAGCGTATTGTTCGAATGTTTATAGTGAAAATGTCAATAAAGATATGAAAAAAAAAAAAATAATAATAATGGGTCGAGAGAGAAGAAATATAGGTCAAAAATCGACTTATGTCGATTCTTCGATCGTAGGTACATCAAGCAAAAGCAAATGTACCCCTACTGCCACAGGTAGCTGAGATGTGTTTAAATGACCCATCAAAGCGAGGATAAATGGACAGGAAACATGTCGCATGGTCCGAATGGTGCTTTTCTATTTTAGTTGAAATTTTCATCAAACTTTCATTGCCACTCAAATCTGTTTTGGGTAAACTTAGTTCTTTCGCACTTGAACCGTTTACAAGAATTTTGTGTCTATGTCTAGGCTTGTAAAGCATGCGATGATATTTAATGGTGCTCTTCTTTACAATCACATAAAAAAGCGCAACTTTTACATTCTTCGCCCTCTATTCTATGTAGGGTTACATCAAAAATCTTTTTATTGCTAATACTTTTCTCAAATTTATTTTATGTTTTTTTAGCGCTAACGCTTAACGCAAACATTGGTATTCGTTGCGTTTAGTGTACGAAATTTACAATTTGTAAGATTTCTGCAGGCGCTGATACTGCTGCCATCATTGCCGATTTTTTTTGTTCGGTTCACCACTCGCCCCGAACTGAAATTTTCAGAACGAAAGGAAGAGAATTACTTTTCTGGCTATTGCTATTAATGACTTATCTTGTTCTAAGAAAAAGATCCAAACAAATTCTGATAAGTGCAACGTAGTCTTGCGAGATGTTTTACGGCACAATGTCTCACCTTTGAGTGCGAAGCTTAAAGAAATTTTTCGATACAACCTATTTACTAACATCGTTTGCCAGGGGCTTAATACTTTTTTAAGCCACTTAATAAAATATTGCAAAAGAAAATTTTTAATTGAAATTTCGAAAAGAATTCTGAAATTTTTGTAATTACTCGTAGCCAGCAGAAAAAGGAAAAAAGAAAAGAAACGGATAACTTTTGTACTCTTGTAGGTAAATGAATGCAAATAAATCCTTTACTTCTTTATTTCAGTTAATTTGTTATATTATTTTACTCGGAATAAATGCCATTTTCAACGCAACATGTATAAAATGTATTCGAATATTTAATAATTAACTATATGCATGCATGTGTGTGTGTGTGTGTGTGTGTGCATAAGTTAATGTAAATAAATAAAAAAATATGGAATGTGTACGTGCACGCGGGTGTTTATATATATATGTATATATATATATATATATATATATATATATGTACGTATATATCCAACATAACGCCCGATACTTAAATGCAAAGCATTGTTAACACAGGAAACGGATGTGGCACTCAGTTTGTATTCACGAAAACAGGAAAACACTCGATGTTCTTTCAACTACAATAAAACGCACTCTCCTATGCACATAAACAACATATACATGCAGATATATGTTAACATCTATATATACATATATACCGTTACCTCTGTGTTTCTGGTAAATCTATGAGTTTCAATTTAATTCGTTTTTTATGTTTTTAATGGACTGACTTACTACTACACTACTACTACTACCACTACTACTACTACCACCACTACTACTACTACTACTACTACGGACCGACTATAAGCTAACTGAGAGAAATAACTTTAATAATAATTCTTTTTCTGTTTGCTTTACAATATTTAAACAATGTTCACTGCGTAAAGTGTGCAGTGGGATTAGACGAAGAGTAAATGGTAAGGGAAAGAGATTTAAAAATACTCTGTGCATACGCACAGTTATTAATATTACTTTTTGCCTCCATTTTTATGAAGCAACCAACTAGAATTCGTATATCGGCCATTTGCTTATTTTTATAAAGTTTCACTGGAACGGTTTGCATATACTCAGTAAAACAGCAAGCGATGCTTGAGTGTATTCTGTATTTCATTATTTTATTAAACTAAACTTTAGTTTACGGATTTACGGTGAATTTAAAACAAGTCTAGAATAAAAATGAATTTAAATTTAGTTCTTTTTCATTATCCATCGTAAGAACATAGAAATATAATGGTTTTCTCTTTATTCCCTTTACGAACTGTAACAACAGCTTAAGTCAATCGCAGTCGCAATAATTTTCATTTTTCCATATTTTTCATGCGAAATGTAGATTGAATTGACTTAAATTTTTCTCTTTTCCTAGCGACAAATCTCCGTTCACCGGACAGTTGCTGTGTTCTTCACGAACCGAATAATTGCAATTTCTGTCCTTACAAAGCTCTGTTTCAAAAAAGTCGTCAAAGGAAAAAGCTTCCTATGACAGTTAAAACTCTCTCATATATTTTCGCTCTTAAAAGAAAAGAAAAGAAAGTGTTGTAGCAATAAATTTAGTTCTGCTCTATTTCGCGGACTTTCCAAGAAAGTTGTCGAGAAAAGTTTGTTTTGATTTTTTTGATTTTTGATTGCCAACAAACATTTTATATTTATTTATCCAAATCTTTACTCAACATGTCGCATCCCAACATGTTATCCCAAGTAAATGTGGTCTTCAAGGACTTTCTCGAGTCGTTGCAATTGACAAAATATTCCGCAATTTTCGTGTTTACTTCAGTTGCTTTTAAGTGTAAAATGCAGTGCACAAATGTTGAACCTAACGGGAGCACACATAACTTCTTGCTTAGTTTTATTTGACTTACGTATACCATTGCATTGCAACCTATTTATAGGTTCAATATTTAGTTTTATATTTAATTTCTTAAAGATTTTAAAACACGAAATAACAAGTTTTTATGTGATTATATGTTTTTGTTGTTGTTGTTGTTGTTGTTTTTTCATATACTCACTTAAAATGATAAGTTCCATTTTCATAACCAAAGAATGGCACCGTATATGTTAGCATCCATATGTTGCCACCGCCACAATCATAGTACGGCTTCGACCATCTGCCGTCTTCATATTTAACCGCCAACGTATCATCCTCGATACGTTCATCGCTTTTATTTGAATATAAATGAAATGCTAAACAAAAATTAGAATAGAAATATGAAGAAAAAAAAAATCAATAGAGAAAGGCGTATAAACGTATGTACATAGAGATAAAAAAAAAGGAAAAAATTGAAAATTTTACCACAAAAAGCAAATAAAACAGCTCTGCTTGGGTTAAAACGAATATTAGTTTCAATAGCAGTTGAACCATAAACTCATTGCCAAAGCATTGATTGCATCGCACATAACTAATATAAATATTCATTAAGAATTTCCCTTTGATTTTTTACGCTAACTGCAAATTGTTATTGCAAATCTTACTCTGCTAGTATAACATGTTTTTACGTATGAGAATTAATCCACAAATAGAGTGATAATAAAAATAGATGAACTTATTCCTAAAAGTTTTTATTCTGCCGCAAACAAAGGCGTTACAAACTAAATAACAAATTTAATATACTCTTAAAATCAAAAATTATTCATCTTGCTTTTAATTATCGAGGTCAAATATTAGTGATTTTGCTTCAGCTGAAAACTTATTTAACATGCATAGACAGTAGGGCGATTACATTAGAAGTTGAACAACAAATTTACATTAATTCGATTCTGACTGACCCCGGGCAACTTTAATCCTTAACTTTATTTTGATTTAATTTTTATGCGATCACCAAATGCTTGGCAATAATAATGGTGGTGGTAAACCCTACAAATTCATATTCTTGATTAGCGCAAAATAATGAAATCGATTCCATTTGTTTCTTTAGCTGCTCAGGTTTCGGTCTGTGGTTTGACGGCTTCGTTTAATAGCAAGAACTTCTTCGCTAAATTATAATAAATTTGGTAAGAAAATAAATTTTTCTTATGTAACTTGCCTGTGCAATGGCCCGAGCAATGGCTCTCTCACACAGCCGTTCTTATTTCATTTGTTTCTTAGTGCAGGAGTGCTCGAAAGTTAACACTTGCAGCAAACCGAAAATCAGCGAAAGGTATCTTGAGTGCAGATATCCTTTCACAAACTTTTCACGTTACTGACTGATGAACGAAATAAGAAAAGCGTATGAACTCATCAGAAGCCCAATGGATTTTCGGTGGCTAAGGAACCAAAGGATACCAAAGGATGATTTGTTAGGCAATTCGTTAACTGCTGATGAGATTAGGGCCCGTTATGAATTACCAAAAACTTGAAATCTTGGTGGTGGCTTGAGGAAAACTAATTCTTTTATATCTCCGCCCCACACTTGGGATACAGGATAAGTTTATGCGGGCGGTTGTAACAGCCTGAAGAATTTCACTCTTTGTTAAGCAGGATTCAGAATCATTTTCTGAATCAACCTATGCTTGTCTGCCCATCTGTCCGTTTGACGTCTATCCATACATAGTGTTTAACCTCCACATCGTATTCTTCGAGACATTTTGATGAAATTTGGTACATTGACCTTCGGACGAACACTGGTGAAAATGGTTCGGATCGGACCACTTTTTCAACCACTCTCTTATTTTCATAAGTTGTTATGTAGAATGCGGGGGATTTTGGATTGTATTGTAATTATTATATAAAGATTTCTCGGGAAATTTTATATCCAAAAAAGGCCCAAGTCATAAGATGAAAATTTGTTCAATTCAACAAAAAAAAAATAAACGGTAGAGAATATGGATCATATAGTTTTTTTTCTTGGACATACAACAACACAGGGATTTTCATAAAAAGCGGTCTTTCATATGGAGAAAAAATATCGTTTCCACTTGTTTTATAAAATCATAAGATTTGTAGGAAGTACATGAAGATGCATAAACTTGGGTCACATCATATGATGTTATGGGCAAAGTCCAGTGCATGGGCTTTCATCGAAAGTATACCTTTGCGTGAAAATAACGTTCAATTTTTGACGTATTATGAAGAAAACGAGTGAATAACTGCACTCGGGGAAATGGTGTAGGGTTGGCCTTGACCGAAAATAATGTTCTAGCTTGTTTTCATTTCCGTTTCTTGTTAAGTTTGGGGAATATTCGATTTATCCTTTGTTCCGTAATGAATGTTATATTGCAGAATATGAAACGAAGGCTTTACAATATGATTTTTTTGTTGAATTCGGCATATAAATGATTTGTATTTCGCATCACAAATATTTGTTTAGCATAGGATAAGTATAACTTTCTCCCACGTCAATATAATATCCATCTATCAATATCTAATTAGTGTTTTGTGCAACAATCTATTATATGCCTGCACGTTTGACGGATAAGCTAGCGATTGATTTCAAATAATAGAAAAATAAGCTATGATTATCATATACAAATAGAGATTTATATTTGTGTATGCATATGTCTGTAGTGTATATTTACATTATGCGCGGGTCATTTCTCCATAAATAATGAGATAAACTTAATGAGGAATAGTTGTTCATGTCACTATACAAGCTATCGAATTTTATTTAAATAGTCAATCTGAGCTGAGTATGATTTTCTTGCATGCACAAGAGTGCATTAAGTTTGTGCGAATGTGTGCAATAAAGAAGAACTTGAGTTAGACCCACGTTCGGTTCAGAATCACTTTCTGAACCTGTCTGTCTGTCTGTCTGTCTGTTTATTTTTATTGATGTGTTCAACGTGCAACCGGAGGAGTTTCGACCCAAGGACGAACGCTATTAAAAAGATCCGAATCCCATCAGTTTCTCGCCCTTTTACCATATAACATCTTATTTTGAAAGCTCGTTACATGGGCAAGTTTATTAAGCAAAGTGGCCTACAGTATCTAACGATGGGTCGCGTCTCACTGTAGTGTTTTCACTCATTTTAAATTTTCTACCAGTGATACAAAAATATATTTGTATATTTGACAACCGATAGAATTACATTTATTTGCAACATTTTTCTGCTTCATGGTGTTTGTCTCTCGTTCAAGCGATTGCACATGTTTAACTTTATAGTTCATGTCTTGTGAAAGTTTTTTTGTCAAAATTGTATTTTTTTAGTTTTTTTATGGTAACATCATTTTGTTTAAGTAGAACCAGGCTTATTTAAATGCAATGAAAAAGAAAAATAGAAAATAATAAGCAAACTATACGGCCCATTGTCTATCTAAGCTAACAATTACTTCTCGTATTCTTTAGGCAATTATATCTTTACGATTTACGTTTAGAAAGCAAAGTCGAAGTGTTGACGCTCTCCAAGTGACAAAGTTGTTTGGTTTCGTCTAAGAATGCAAGCCTTTCACCAGAGGGCAATAGGTTGCCAATTTGGAAAAATCCCGTTTTTTGTCAGCAGAAATAACGTATGTTGGTAGCAGCGGGGAAGGTAGCACCAGGTAGGTTAGTACTATTACTATTATCGTTTACTGGGCGACTTTTGTTAAATACAACGTAAAGATTCAAAACCGCTACCTTACGAATTAAGCGGAAAAAGACGCTTTTTTCGTAAATTTCGAATTAAGCGGAAAAAGACGCTTTTTTCGTAAACGTTGTTTTTTCTTTCGGTGCCTCTATTGAGAGTTTTGACAACCTAAAGTCTCCCCAATACACAAAACCACATTTTCCTTCACTACTTTGTAGCACTATTCGCGGACACTTTCGGAAACCAGCAACAAGTTACTCAAGGTCTCGAAGCGAACACAAGGATGGTATCAGTATAATAAAATCTTCACTGCTTCGATAATATTAAGCTTGCTTTTGCAAATAATTAAAAACTCTGGAACTTTCTTAATTTTTTTTTTTTTTTTATGCACCAACAACAACCGACACAACATAATTGTTAACAATTTGATCACAGAGGAGAGAGAACAAAAACCCTTTACAAGTGATTTGAACGAAAAAAGAGAAGAATTCATTAGTGATTGTTTCTCCGAAACGTAGTAAGAGCAATAAAGAAAAAATAAACTTACAAAGAAAGAAAACATTTACTAAACTAACATATATGTTAGCAAATATAAATCTTCTGTACATTTGTTTTACACAAAGTAAACATTCCATAATTTTACTCTTGTTATTGTGCATACCTTGGTTAATACACAACAATAAAATTATTTGTATGCCAAGCCATACAGTGATGTCAAGGGAAGCTTTGCATTAAAAGCAATAGGAATGCTGTTCTCGGAACTGAGGGATTTGGAGAGCACGCCTTTAAAATAATAAAGAAGAAATATTTTCAACTCATCCAGACTCTCAATGGCGTTAGATGAAGCAGCAGAACAGGTGTATAGTTATTATTAATTTACTCACTAACCGCATAAATAAACAAAATCTGGCTGAATTGGGGGCTCAGCCAAAAAATCTCCCGTTCGCCAAGAAATTATGTTAAACAAAAAGACTTAAATGCCGCTTGATTAATAATTTTATTTTAATAATCTGCTGTCAACTTATTAAACAAATACTTTTTTTATTTACATTTTTCTTAAGCCAGTTTTTTTAAATGAATTTTATCATTATCTTTCTCTTATACGCATTTCTTAACGAAATTGTAATTCTTTCCTTAATGGTATTATGTAAATTGTTGTTAAATATAAAAATTAACCAATAGAGAGGAAGCTAGCCTTTGGAGTCGTCGGAACAAATTTCAGAGTCTCCCATAAGCATCATGGGCCGAGAGAGACCATAGGTAGGGCAGATAGAAAAATGGCCCAAGGCTTATGATATGACCATTCGATAAGTTGGGTTTCGTCCGTACGTTCATTCTTGTAAATGTAAAGGACATAAGGACATGCAACTCTTTCAGGTTCAATGTGCGTTTTGCCCGTGAGACAAAATTGAAAACCCACCTACATCTTCGAACTAGGTAAGTGACCTGAGCCAGGCAGTACCGTCTCTACAGTCTCCACTCCACTTTTAGTGGCACGGAATAGTGGCCTACAAAATAATTTTCGATTGATGTTTTTTGTCAGACTGGCGGGGGAGAACTAAGAGACACTGCATTACACCCTTCAACGGGGATTGGTCTACTCCTTAAAGGCATAGCTTGTCGCTTATCAATTTAAGTCCCAATAAGCACTCCTTGAAACCCGTACTTTTCACATTCGGCCATTCTGCTCGTCATCTATCCCA